CGCTGCTGATGACGTCAGGTACACGCTTTAATCGGGCGCGCTTTAGTGGACCGCGGTTTTGACGGGTCACGGTTTTGAGACGTAATGCCATAATAAGACTGGTAGTTTTCCTAAGTAGCATGATTTTTTTCCCCCAACATATGACTTTCCTGTGTTTGATCCAGACGGGCCTGAACACCCCGTAATCAGCCCCCTACAACAAGTTTACAATGAGCATTCCACTCTCAACCTCTACTGCTCTGCCGTCTGTAATCCACCTGCAAAGTTTTCTTGGTATCTTAATGGAGAGCTTCTGGCACGTCAGAACGAGTCTCGCCTGGCCCAGCGTCTTACTCTGAAGAACGCTGGGAACTATACTTGTCGAGTTGACAATGTCGAAACTGGACTCTCCAAAGCCGTCGGACTGGAGATCAGCATCCGGGGTGAGTAGCTTGGACGGCCAAGCTCACCCAAACCTTTTGGAGGACTTGCTGTGGGGTGATTTCTCTGGCTATCTTATTTTGGTGTGACTCTTTCTTCGCTTCCTGTCATCTCGGTACGTCCGTTTCAAGAGCTCTGCATGGATTTGATTTTGGACGTTCCTGCATTTTTTGGTTTGCGTTTTGTTTATCATGGTACTCCACCGTGGGATGAAGTAGTAATGAAGCATTACTACTTCAACAGGCTGTTCCTCTTTTATTTTGAGTTCCTTCTCTTATTCTGTACCTGTGATCTTGGTAGACTAGATTCCACCTGATTCCTCTAAACGACTGAAAGTCGTTCCAGTAGAAATTAGCTCCTACATGTTGTCCCTTCAACATGTCACCATCAAAGCTTCTCCTTTATGCTCACCGCAGTCCTATTTTGAGCCTGTTCTGATAGTTAGTCGAGCTTAGTTCTTTTCCTTGTTTCCCAACACTGTGACCTTACATTTTCTTTCCTCGCCGTGTGAGACCCCAAATAGTTAAAAACAGTTGTGCAATTTTTGTTAGCCTTTCTTCTTTTTTTTTACTTACCTTCTCTTTGACCCTGTTTCATTTATATCTTTGGCACTGAGAACTGGCCAGATTCTGGCTACGTTTTCAAGCCCACCCATCGATATTCACTCGGACTCTATAACTGTTTGATATTCTTTTCTTCCCTTTATTTTTATCTGCCTCAAGCTTGCCTCGTTTGAAGCGTCTCTCCACCACTTTCCTTCTTGGTGGTTATGGGATATCTTAGAAATGGTTCAGAAACCAGCTATTGTTTTACAGCGAAGCCACCCAGATGATGTTCCTGAAAAGATAAACCTCGTATTTCCTTTTTTTTTTTTTAATGGCTAAATTTTCAGCTGAAACTAATTTTAGCCTCGTCTTTTCCCAACTTCCCATTTTAGCCATGGAACATTTGAGGTCCCTTGACAAAAATATTCCCGTCCAGGGGAAGAGAATTGATTTATATCAAAGTTCTCCATCCTTTTCTTTTGTTTTTTGGTTCTGTTACCACGGCTTTGGACCTCAAGGGTAGTTAAGAGGTATGTTGGTCATTGATCAACATTTCCTAAATGCATAGAGGCTCACCGCTCGGCCACAGATCTGGCTGCCCAGCCCCTTCTGAATGGAAAAATCAAGATAAAATCTTGAAGTCCTGAATCAATGAACCGCGATGAAGACTCCAATGTTTACGTCAGGCGTTTGTCTTAAATAACAATGACTTCCCACTTTTTTTTTTTTATCTTTCCAACAGAGGCCATCAATCATATCTCCGTCAGAGACCCTGGCAAGATTGTCGAGAATAGCACAACCTATCTCAACTGCACAGCCTCTGGCTTTAATGTTTCCTACTATTGGCTTAAGGGGAAGCAGAGGCTTCAGGCGGGGGCTCGCCTGTCTTTAAGCAGCAATGGCCAAAACCTTAGCTTGAGTAAAACAAGCCGTCAGGATTCGGGCCTCTACACCTGCTGGGGGATTAACAGTTTCTCTAACAACTCCTTCAACTACACCCTGAATGTCTTTTGTAAGTCTGGTTCTGCCTTGGGGAGATTGTAGAGATTTGGGGATTTGGGGAACGAGCTCCCGACGCACGCTTGTGTAAGAATCTAACTTCTAAATTAGGGATATGTGAGAGACGTTGAACGGATCCGTTCGAGGGATCCAGTGTTCTGAGTGCCTTCCCTTGATCCAGTCGCTTTTCCCTCCCTTGCCACGCAACCAACCCCTACAGGTAGTCCTCAACTTACAACAGTTTGTTTAGTGACGGTTCAAACACACAACGGCACTGGAAAAAAAAATGATTTATGACAGTGAGGATCTTTGCAGCCCCCTTGTGATCAAAACTCAAGACGCTTGGCCACTGGTTCATGTTTATCACTAAGGGAGTCAGTTTCACTTAACAACCAAGTTACCAACTTATCAACTGTGCTGGGATTCACTTAACGACTGAGGCAAGAAAGGTCATGGAAAGGGGCAAGACTTACTTAATGAAAGTCTCTGTTAACAATGGACATTTGGGGGGGGCGAGCTCCGTTGTGGCCGTAAGTTGAGGACTACCTGGACTGTTATCCAAACCCCTTGAGTAACTGTTTAGATAGGTCATCTTGCAAGGTTCACTTTGATTTGGAGCTGTGAAGCTTGTATCTAATACAGGGTGTCAAACTCAAGGCCCGGGGGCCGGATTCGGCCCGGGGGGTACTTAGATATGGTTCACCGACAAAAGGGCGAATGACAAAAGTACGCCCGACTAAACCGCGGTGACAAAACCGCGAGTTCTAAAGCGCGGCGACGAATGAGTGCTGAACCGCGGCAACAACAGCGCGGCGACAGTAGTGCGCTGTAAACCTAACCCTAAACCTAACCCTAAACCTAACCCTTACCTTAACTTAAATCGCGCTTCTGTCGGCGCGCTGTTGTTGTCGCGTTGATGACGTTGCGGTTTTAGCGCCACGGTTTTATCAGCACGCTTTTGTCATGCGCGCATTTGTCGGGTCACAGGTTCAAACACCTATGGCTCTGCATTCTGGACCAGCGACAGCTTCTGAGCTGTGTTCAAGGGCAGCCTCACCTAGAACACATTGCAGTAGTCCACATTCTGAGGTGCAGTTGTCCACGTCTGAGGTCCACATCTAAAGCACCTCCGTGGCTGTTTGGAGGGCCTCCCAGTCCAGAAACAGTTTGTGGATAGAGGATGGATCCATCC